ATTATAAGAACAAAGATAATGATATTTTATAGAAAGACTGAAAACACTTTTGCTTTTTCAGAGCAAAGAACGAATTTACATTGTTTGTGCCGTATTATACATTCTTATAATCAGGCCAGACTTATAAAAAGGTAGGGCTTTTGTTGTTGTTTGTTTTGAAAAACAGACTCCCCTGGGCTGGCCAACATCACCGTGCTGGGACTCAGACCCGCAGGAGTCTCTCGGTAAAGGCGGCTGGGCGCGTGGTCAGAGAAGTCGTGTCAGCTCATCATGTCCAGACTGCACGGTTCGCTGCTGCCCTCGCTGCGCAGAGCCTCTGCCACATCCCTTCTGAAGACGGACAGGTTCTGGGTGAACCTGCGGAAAGAGGAAGCAAGGGCCTGGGGCAGTGGCAAGGCCACGGCTGCAGGAACCGTGGGCTGAGAGTCGCCATGGAGTTCAGGACCTTGGAGAGGGCCCGAGCTCCAGGCTGAGCTCCTTCCGCCCACTTCCCCTGGCAGCGCTGATCTGCCGGCAGCACCCCGTCCCAGGGCACGGACTTACCACCGCTTACGCTCTCACCATGCTGAGGGGTGTGTCTTGTGGTTATGTTGTTTAAAAATTGTTAAAAGTCAAATGACACATAGAGGTAAGGAATATAAAGAACTGAAGCTCACGTGTCATGTAAGTTCATTTAATCATCATGAGTCTCTCCTAGGTAGGCATTAGTATCTTCATTTTACAGATAAGAAAACTGAACTTGATGGTTGAAAAAGGGAGCACTGGGATAGACTATGGGTTCAAATCCTGGCTCCCCCATGTCTTAGCTGGGTGATCTTGGATGAGAATTCTGAGCCTCCTGTCTTGGTGCCCAATGTGAGAAGCCACCTCACGGGACTGTGGGAAATGAGAATTGACTGGGTGAGCTGAGACAGTGCCTGGAAAGCACTTGGCGTAGTGCCTGGCACATGGGAAACATGCAGCCCTTGCTGGCTGGTGCTCCCCCAAAACGAAGAGGGCTGTCTGGCACTATTTCACAGGACAGCTCGAGAAGTGGCACTAAGATGCCCAAGCCTCAGGTGAAGTGACTTTTCCCATTCGGCACGTCTCTCCCGCTGGCTTTCTGCCTGATGGGGGATCTCGGCAGGGAACAGGCAGTCAGGGGAATGTGTCTGCAGAGCCCACCCAACGTGGCCTTGTCTTAGCAGAGTCCAGGCTGGTGACTCCTCGATATACGTGGCTACTGGGGTGACTGATGACATGCGTTTCAAATGGTACAGCATCTGGATGCTGCCGCTTTTATAAAAGGATGGCAGAGGCAGTTGTTTTTCCTGAAAACATTTTCTTCTACATCTTTTATTATTGTCTGTCTCCTTTACTAGAAGCTCCATGAGGGCAAAAGCCTTGAACAAGTCGTTCACCATTGGTATCCCCAATGCCTGGCACAGAGCAGATTCGCAATAAAATTTTGTGCACTGAATGAATGAATGAATGAATGAATGAATTCAGGCATAGCTAGTAAGTTCGGGTTCCTCTTATTTAGCAACTTATCTGCTTGTGTTGTAAAACCAGCCACTCTTACAGGGCAGGCAGGGAACTAATATTCACTGTGGGTCATATGTCCCTGGTACCATGCTTTACTACCATCTGTCATTTAAATGTCACAACCAGTTACCATCACCTCCATTTTACCGGTGAGAAGACTGAGGACCAGAGAAGGTGATGCCTTACTCGCTGCCGTCCAACCTATAAAGGGCAGGGATAAAATTTAAATTGGAGTCCGTCTGACCCCAAAGCCTGTGCTTCTTCAAATGCCGGGAAGCCTCTCCTTGTCCTTTGTGGCAGATATGAGCTTTCTTCCTTTGACCTTTTCAATGAGTTATTTTTCATATCTCCCCTGTTGGATTATAAACTGCTTAAGGGCAAAGGCTGCGTAGCGCCTAGCACGATGCTTGGAAGAAAGCGAATACGCAGTCATATGCATCGGATGGAACCAAACTGAGCCTAGGGTTGTAAGGTGTGACAGAAAAGCCACATCGATAGCTGTGTTGAGCACAATCCAGTTATTTTCCACAAACCCGGCAGATCCACTGGCCCAGAGATGCTCAGCCTGCTGGGCACCGCTTACCTGTCTCTGTTCTTGACGGACAGGTTCTGCTCCACTCCTTCCATCAAGTTCCTGAAGCACTGGGCAAGGACCTCCTGCTTGGGGAGAGGCTGGCTGTTTATCAGACTTGCCCTCAGTTCGCTGAAGTACTGTCGGGAGACAGAAATGGCGTCAGGGCTGACTCGGACCCTGGGCCTGAAGCGAGCCCTGGGGGAGGGGCTGGACCAGCTCCCATCTGCCCGGGCTCCTAACTCGAGGTCCACTTTGAACTTTCAGTTTCTAGAGCAAACTAAAGCAACAGAGAGAGGCATTCCTAGGTATAAACTGTATTAACCTTTCCCATAAAATCTCTTGCAATAATTATTCTATAGTCCCTGAACAATTTAGGCTGGTTGAGTCCTTCCCGACTCTCCTCTCCGCTAATCACAGATGGGCCGAAACAGGAAGGGTCTCTCAGGCTGCGGGTGACTCGGCCTGAGCACTTGGGGTGACTGAAGGCCAGGCTCAGGGTCCCATCCTCATGCTCCTCAAATTACTGCAGCCTTTGCTCCATGCCCCTGTCCTGCTGGGTTGGGACGGGTCTGCTCTGCTGAGGTGGACACCTGGTCCCAAAGAACCGCACAGCCCCCTTCTCTGCTGGGTCTGTGGTCTTTACACAAACGCGAGCCCTCGTGCTAAACACAGCCTCTAATCACTGGAAGCAGCCTAATTTCGGCACAAAGACAACATTTTGCCAGTCATGTGTTTATCCTTCCAAGCCCAAACAGTGTGATATTTAATTTCCATCATGCATTAAAACAGCTCACATCAAAAACACACATAATTAATATGTAGTCAGACTAATACTTAAATACTATATATCAGAGGCATTAGACTTAAACCTCGATGTCTTCCAGAACAAGATTGGGAATGCACAAAACTACTTATTTTTCCCTTTTATAATGATGCAGTGACTCACACCAAATAGAAAATTATTAGTTTTTCATCCCAAACCATGAAATATTGCCTCCATCAGTAAAGTATAATATTGTGATGTCATAAGCTTTTTCTAAACACTGAATTTGCCCTTATTCCCTCTCAATCATTTTAAAAGAACTGCTCTCTTTTATAGAGCTTGGATTTAAATCACAATAACGCCGAGGGAAGATGGATGGTAGTGCTATTGAATGTGGCTAAAATTGGATACTTCAGCACAGGTGAATGATGAGACAGCTCTTCTCTTTTTGATATATTTTCTTCTTCTATTAGTTTCCTTCTAAGGCTGGGATTTCAGTTTGAATTTTAATGTATGCGGCTGCCTCTAATCTCACTGTCTTTTTCCCCAGTACTATCTTATTGTATAGACAATTCATTCTCCAGAGCAGTAATGCACTGTTCCCCCTGACTGCTGGGGAGACAGGGTGGCTTCGAGAGGAAGCGGGAGAGCTCGGGAGGCGGCCCGGAGCGGCGAGTGCACTTAAGGACTGCAGCCTTCGCTCCTGGAGGACGGGCGCTGGCTCTGTGTTTGGCCCTGAGGGGCGGCTGCCACCACCTAGGGCAGGAGGGATCTCGGGTTTAAAAGAAGGCCAAGGAAGGAGCAGAAGGGAGTATTGCTGAGAATCCCCCTGGAACAGGTGGAGGGCAAAGGGTGAGCCTGCGCATCGCTGAGCAAACCACCCGCCCAGTGCGTGTCGGCTCTGAGTTTCAGAAGAGCTTGTCTTGAGGCCTCTGCGTGCCTGAGGAACAGCTGAGGCTTTGGGGGAACACGGCCTTGCCCTTGGGTGCTCGGCTCCTCCCTCCCCCAGTGACCACCTCCCATGGGCCACCCTGTGGTCACGCTCACCTTCTCATTGAGCAGGACGAGCCCCAGGAGAGGCCTGGACACTGACCACTGGTTCCGACAGTCTTCGAAGACGATGGTGTTCATGAGGACAGACGTCATCTGGAAGACAGGCACATGGAGACATTGATGCCTCGGCTCAGAGTCTCCCCAGTCCCAGCCCCTTTGTGCTCAGCTTCTGCGCCCACATCTTCTCAACAGTCGTGAGGGCTCCTCCCGGACAAACAGCTTTGACTCCGGAACCCTGTAATGCTTCCTGTGGGAACTCTTGGCAAGGACTCCCAGCTTCCCGAGGACGAGTGTCTATCGCCAAAAGCTTCGGTGAGAACCTTCTGAGCGGGCAGAAGTCAGAGGCCAAGAGGATCGGTCTCTGTCCCTCAACCCTGACACGCTTTCCTCTATGCCAAGTCACCAGGCAAAAGCCCAGCTCGCCTTCCTCTCCACCTCAGAGAGGGAAGAATGGGAGACAATCCACACAACCTTGGAATGTCCTGTTTCCTGCTGGCTCAGGCTGTGAAAGGTCCTCATTCATTCTTCATTGACTAATTCACTCACTCACTCACTCTACTGCTACATGTACATACTCATCCATTCCCTTAAATTCAAAGTCTGCAAGACACCTAGGGGAGGGAAGAGAACACAGGCATCTACCAAAGGAGTGAGAAGCTTCCTGAAACAGACACCCTCCCGCCACCCTCCCCCACCACACACACACACAGGGCATTCAGGAACTCGGGCTGGGCAGAGAGCTGTGGGCCTGCGGTGGAGGGAGGCAGGGAGGGATGCTTCGGGATGCTCGAGGAGAAGTCAGGGAAGACCCCGCAGAGGAGGCAGTGTTTAAGGAGTTCATCGCGAACGTGTTCTAAGCAGAGGAGGAGGCTGGGAATGAACACAGTGGGTCCTGCAGCGGGAAAAGGCTCAGTGGGGCCGGACAGAAGAGAGAGGGCCCAGAAGCAAGACCCCAGTGCGAGGCTGGAAGGCCATGCGGCGAACCTGGACCGCACCCTGATGGCAGTGGGAGGCAGTAATGCGTCTGCAGCAAGAGAGGGACACGCTCAGATTTGCACTAAGAAGGATCCCTCTGGGGACATGCTGAATGTGTACTCGTGCAGGTGACAGTAAGGAAGGGACGCCAGAGACGAGGCTGGCAAGCGGTGGTGAAGCGAGCTGCGGTCAGTCTGTCCTCCACGTGGAGCTGATGGTACAATGTCTGCTTCTTGGACTCGTCACCTCCCACCTCTAGCCCTTCCGTTTCCACAGCTCCAGAGCCCCCTCGTCGACGAAGGCAGGAGAAATGGCAATTCTGTGGCAAAGGCTACCACAAACACCACCTCTGACTAGGCTCTGGCGACATCTGGTTGCGTCCTCTGGCTTATTTGCAATCCAATTTACTCTGTGATCTCAGGCAAGTTACTGACCTCTCTCTCTGTGTCTCAGTTTCATTAGCTACAAAGAGGAAAATAATAATCCAGCACCAGGAGGCTCTGAGACTCAAATGAGATGGTGGATCTAAAACGTGCCACGAAGAGCAGAACGTGCTACGGACATCGAAGGTACGCCACGACAACAGCCATGAGCTTCTGTGTCGCTCTAGACGTCAGCCATCGCACGCCCCAGCCACGACAACAGCCATGAGCTTCTGTGTCGCTCTAGACGTCAGCCATCGCACGCCCCAGCCACGACAACAGCCATGAGCTTCTGTGTCGCTCTAGACGTCAGCCATCACACACCCCAGCATCATCAGAGCACTGAGGCTGGCTGCAAATGAAACCTGCCAATTCCTCATTTACTGTGTGTCCGGTCTCTCTGGGGGAGAGGCTAGGACGTAAGCCTGGTGTGCTGAACATCATCTGCCGATCACGTGTTTCTATGTACCATCTAACAAGCCACCTAAAGTCATAGAGCCACAAATTAAATTGACAAGCAAAACTAACAGATCCATGGAGACAGTCTAAAATATTATGGGCTTCACAATGTGAAGGCAGAATGGATATTTTAATGGAAAAGATTAGAGTTAGAGGTACCGAACTCCTCCAGTAACTGACAAAGCATCTTGAAGTGATGTGCCAATTACTTTATACGGTTCTCCCGTGGATTCATTTGTCTGAATGCATGTATTTATGTCTGTAATAAGTAAGGGGATGTTTGAATAAAATACTTTTCTAAAAATAAAGTTGGCTAAAATGGATGATTTTTTTTTTTTTTTTTTACTCTTCCGGAAAGATGGAAATTAGTGAGCAAATCTGCTCAAATGGCGTTGACATGGCAGCTCATTTCCAGAGTTCTTTTCACTAATAGGACGAGAGGGTATGGAGGAGACGGTTCAAACGTGTGGCACGCTACCCTGGAGAAGGGCCCCCCTTTGGAAGCATACGGGGTGAAATGCGTATGTCCGGAATCCTGTTCCAGGTGACGTGGAGCCTCTGGTGGGCTCTCTGTGGTTAACGACGCAAACAAGACTGAAAAGAGAGAGCCCTCGGCGACCCCGCCCCAGTGCGCCCCAGCCCCCAGAGTCACACAGCATCACAGTATGCATGAGCGGGGCCGCCACCCCCCAACTTCTGCTCACTCCCCGTACATTACAGGGGTGGCTGGAATGGCCGCCTCGGTTCACCCAACCCAGGCTGCATCTTCTAGGGCCTGTGTCCGAACGCACACACACGTCAGCCATGTATTATCCTAAGTGGCTGTTCTGCCCACCGGGGAGGGGACCACGGGGGCAGGGGAGTCACGTGGCTTGGGCCACTTAGGAAAGCCACGCCCCACACTGCCTCCGGCACTTCCTCAGTCTCTTTCCTCCTCCCCGCAGGCTCTGGCACGATTTGTAGGAAATGTCTCACGATGAAGCGAAATCGAACGAGGTGGTGTGGTAGGGACAGGCTTTGGAGCCAGAACCGAGGCCAAATCTGGTCCCGCCACGTACTTAACTTGGAGCTCGGACAAGCCATTTATTCTCTGAGCCTTTACTTCCCTACGTATAGGATGGGGGATGGTAACGCCTACTTCGAAGGCACTAACTCTTCCATGGGCCCCAACAGTTCCCCCTGTCCCTTTCCTCCAACTGGTCCCCGGCCTGGCCCAGCGGACTCTCGTGGCTCAAGGAAGGACCCCATTTCATGTCGTGATTATATACAGATAAGTCAGATTATAGTCTCCTCACAATTATCTAACTTCGAGAGAGTCGCAGTCAAAAAAAGAACTTAAAATGGGAGACAATCCAAAAAGCGTCCCTATTTAGGATGGATTTTGAATGATAGTGCTTCTGTTGTTCTGGAAACTTGTAATCTTCCATAGAAAACACAAAGCTACTCTCCAAATCCCTGAGCTGGAAAAATAAAGCAGTGCTGAGTTATCTGTATCCGCCCGCCCCTCCGCCCCTCTCCCGTGCTTCTCCCTAAAGTGGGATGGAGCACAAGCAGCACGAAGCACAGTGGACTTTCCGGCCCAAATGCGCTGGGTCGACTCTCCCTACGGCAAGGTGGTCACTGCATGCTGCCACCTCAGTGCTTCCTGTCCTGCCTCCTGCCGACACAGCATGAGCACCGATGTGCTGTGTGTTGGACGCTTTCGTGCTACATGGTCAGTATGTATTCTTTCTAAGGAAGTTGGAGGCTCAGTGGGTCTAGAAGCCACAGAGCAGGATGGCTGGAAGGAGGTGGCTCGGTGAGTACAGGGCGCTGACGGCAACGGGGTGGGGTAGGAAGACTCGTCTGCGAACTTCTGCGGTGCTGGGACCACGAGGGACTTTTCTCTGTAACCCGGTGCCTAGCATGGCATCTGACACACATTAGGGACATAGGAAATAGCTACTGAATGGAAGAATAAATATATAAAAGGAGGAATGAATGAATGAATGAGAAAGGATGAGTGAAATACCAAGAACTCAAGTATAAAGAGCTAGAGCTGAACAGGGGACTGTACAGAAAACAGAGAAGTTCTGGCCTCAATCAGTGGCTGAAACGTGAAATGGGTAAATATTGAAATTCATACGCTGTTCATTTCCAAGGATCTGGCTTTTTCATGCAGTGCCTGAGAACTCTAGGCCGCCGAAGTCCCCCTAGCCAGCAGCTCCCAGGGAGAGCCCTCCGAGAGGCTTTCAGGTTACAAAGGCCAAAGGCTGAGCACCGCCTCTGCTGACAGCTCTCCCACCCACGAGGAAGCGAAGTGATGCCCGATGACCTTCCTCGCTGCCCAGCAACATTGCTGCCTCCTACGGACAGGCTGAGGCACGTGCACACACTGCCCCTGGCCCTCAGCTAACCCTGACGGAGGGAGGTATCCCCCTCATTTCACAGACTAGGGAGCTGAGATCCCGGGAGTAAGCAACCTGCTCAAGGCGACAGACTATCAGCCACCGAGACGTGAAGTGGAACTAGGACATGTGCACAGAGCTGCCCGAGTCCAGAGGCCGGGCCTGCACCATCGCCCCGGCCTGCTTGCTGCCCGCCGCCCTCACGCTGCCTGACAGTGCCAACCAGGACCCCCGTCGGCCATGGGCAGTGGTGATCGAGGCATTGTGTCTGGCTCCCACTGTGGACTTCTGGAGGGCGCATGGTGTGAGAGGACAGGATGGTTTCTGGGCACAGCTCGGTGGGCGAACCCGATATGCTGCCCACACGTATCTCCTCTGGCCAGCGACTCTGCCATCTGCAGTCCCCGTGATTAGAACCCAGGGCAGCGGTTCTAGAGAGTTTGCAGCAGGCCACCTTGCCACCCACCTAGACATTTTATAAATCTGGTTAACATATTTGCAGCTCTCAAAATGAACCACAGTAAACATTAATTAATAGTCTCTGAAAACTGGCCCATTGAACATTTTCCTAAGAATAATGGCTTCCCTCCCACCAAAAGTACCACGTACACAGCAATTAGCATCACAGAAAACGTCAGGAAATTAAGCTCATTTCCTTTGAGTTATAACATTCCCTGTAAAGTGAATCCTTTTCATTGTTAATGTTTTTTGAGCACACTGAATAATAATACAACTAAGAAATATTTCACAAAGTCCTAAGACGTAGGTGAAGAAATTCAAACTCCTCCCTCTTGCTCCCCATCCATATCAGAAAGCAAAACTGGACCGGACGTGATGACATGAACGCTGA